TATATTTTTTTTTCTTCTTCTTTCTTCCTTTCTTTTTTTTTCTTCTCTATTTAACTTTGGGTAAACTGTAGTTTGTGCATCAGTGACGGACCTAGAATTCTGGTGTAGTATGATGAACGGTATATGAATATGTTGCGGAGAAAATAGGAGAAAAAAAAAAAAGCTGATAAAAAGAGTTGTCCTGTTTTCGACAATGCACCTTTGCAGTTTTAGTTGAAAAGTTGCTGTATCAAATGTGCGCAGATGTAAACTTTACAAAGGAGAAGAAAAAAAAAATCTGACAGGAATGAAAATAAATGCTGAACAAACTTAGGCAACTTAGACAAAATGAAACCTAAAGACAGAAGAGTGAGGAAAAAAGATCTGCTTTGTTAATTTATTAAGGGCAAGTAGTAAAAAAAAAGTTTAGTTTTTTCTTTCTATTTTCTTGCTTTCTTGTCTCTTCAGTTTTGCTTTATGGCAAAATTTATTACAAAACAATATATCATACTGACTTATTTTTAAAAAAGTTTAAAAAAAACTTTTCAAAATTGCTCATTTCTTCTTACTTCGAACAGTTTCTTTTTTTTTTTTGGAAAACCGATTACCAGATTAGTTCGGCCTTCTTAGTCAGTTATAGTTGATCATAGTTTGTGAAACCTATTTCGACTTTCTTTTTGCAATTTTAGGTTTTTAACTAATTTAAGCAAAATTTTATCTTTCAAAAAAAATGCTGCAGTTATCAGGTTTTTTCCTTGCTCATTTTTTCAACTAGTTGATTGTCTCTGTTAGCGAATTGAAGGATGAAAAACAGAAAGTAGTTAGGTGGATGGAAGACGTTCATGAAGCAAGGGATATTGAAAGTATTGTTTAACCGGTCTCGGTTTTCGACATTTCTACTTTTCACTAATTAATCCTCTTAGGTTGCTAAGGAAGAAGTAGAAGGAAAGCTAATGTGATATTCAACTCTAAATTAAATTATATGGCTTTATTTTAACAAATAATTGTCTCTAATAAGTTTTAAACTTGAATAAGGTTTACATATTTTAAGGTTTAGGATATGGTAACTGGAAAACAGTTGATAATTATATTCAGTAAAAAAATTGCAAAAATTTGTTTATTTTTATATTGCGATTCAAATTTCAACCAATATCTTAAGCGGTAAATAAATGCAGACAAATATCAGATTATATCTGAGGTTTAAAGAAAGGTTGAAAAAAAAAAAAAAAAACTGAAATTTCAGATAGATTATTTGACATTTCTTCTCTACGATTTTTTTTTCTTCTCTCTTTTTCAATCTGTTTTGCTTGTTTAATATAAAAATTATTATTATTATTATTATTATTATTATTA